TTCAAGCTATCTACAAAAATAATGATAGCGAAAATTGCAACAGTAGTATTTTTTTCTGTTGGTGAACTGTACTTTCGTAAAATTGGCAGCACTGTGTGGATTTCTGGCAAAGCTGAATTCTCTGAAAGTTTTATTAAAACAATAAGCTTTTTTAGCGTAACTGTTTCATGCTAGTTTTAGGAGATAAGTGCGAGAGAACACTGTTCAATTCGACAAAACAAATTTGGAATAAGCAAAATATATCTATGACTAGATCAGAACAAATTTGTCAAAAAAAACTTGCATTTGCGCATCTCTAGCCATAAGCCCTAACCTATTCTAACTCTGACCCAGATATAAATCAATATGTTTTTTGATTTAATTACAACCGATCTTATTATTTGATCGTGATGCGTCACAATATACCTGAGCGAATTTGAATGTAATTAAAATTTTACCTTTGATACCAATATTTGGCTTTATCTAGATTTCTTGTTATGCTTGAGCACTATTATAATCACTTGCTAATCACATTGAGATTGACACTTGAGAGCGACCTTAATCGTAGAAACTCAAATTTCAAAATAATTTAATGTAATTGTTGTATTACAATAAATCAATTTCTCATTAATATCAAACACTTTAAAAAATTTACAAGATACGATTCTTTATCATGGTTAATAAATTGTTAATTTCTCAAGTTAACAAAATTCTTCTCAAATAAGAATAGTCTGAGGTGAAACAAACAAAAAAAATTTAATAAATGAAAAGTAAAAGAACACAATTAATAATCAGTATTTAATTTATTTGAATTTACCTTTTATATACATTATTGCTGTATTGAATGCGCTAATACGACCTAGCCACCGTGGCATACCAAACTGGTGTAAATTTTTCGGACGTAAATCAAGAAAGTATGCATGCACATTGTTATCTTTTTTGATAAAAGTTTTATTTTTTATTTTTATTTGTTTTTTGATTGGTGATTTACCACATAAATTAATTAAATATAATTACCTGTATATTTTACTTCAATTTTACGCAATTATTGCCTCACTTATTCGCGGTAATTTTATACCAATCAAACCTTTGCATAAAAAGGATCGCTTGCCAAGAGGATTTATTAATTAATAGAGGTACTGCTCTTATATTTACCGTATAAAACTTAAAATCCAATCCTGGTATAAATTCAATGAAATAAATTGGTATAAAATAACAAATTTCTAACATCATAACATACGATAATAAAACGAGAAAAGACGAAACGATTCGACGTATCATAAAATTGTTTCATTTCTTATCGCTAATCCGATTACCTCAGCACAGGTGATAAGTGTTCTCATGCCTGGGGAAATTATATCTCATGATTGTTTAAAAATTTTTTTTGAAAAACCTTCACTTTCAAATATAAACCCGCAATTGATATTCGGAATGCTGATATAGCTTGGATAAAATTTGAAATTTAATACTGAGAAATGTTCTAGTTGAAATGAGCTTACTGTAATACATTTGTATTACGTTATACATTCCAGAATAGACTATTAAATATTTTTCAAAGATCAATTCTAATTATACCCGACAAAAAAATTACAAAATTCTATTGGGTGTTTTCAAGCGCCTTAATCAATGGGGTAAAAAACGTCGAGAATAGAGATGGGTAAAATGCGCATTTTATAATAAAATGCGCATGATATATAAAATGCGCATGATACCGCATGATAAAAA